TTTTTAAATGCCAGCTAGTTCGAACCCCGTGCCGCGCGGCTACACGCGGCACGGAGTAGCTAGTTCGGATTAGGGTTCTAATCCGAACTAGCTGTACTCCTCGTGGAATGAGGAGTACAGCTAGTTCGGATTAGGAATCCTACTCCGTGCAGCCGCGCGGCACGGGGGGGTTGAACTAGCCGGGATTTAAAAATGGCGGCGCCCGGCTTATGCAAATGAAGCCCGGGAAATTCAAATCCCGGGCTTCATTTGCAAGTGCGGTATGCCTACATTAGCCTCCTAGTTCGAACTAGCGGGGTAGTGTAGACATACCCTTATTCTTGGACCTGAATGACCTTAGAAAAAGACAATTACTCAAGCTCATTCTAGAACGAAGAATATGACCATGGAAGAAGCACATAATATCGTCCTCTTTTCTCTTCTGCTTCCCTGACCCTTTGTTTTTACCTTCCCACTTTTCTCCCCACAGCAGGAAATGTCCAACCAAAGCACCGTGATTGAGTTTCTTCTCCTGGGCTTCTCTGATGAGCGGGAGCTGCAGATTTTGCACTTTGTGGTGTTCTTGGTGATTTACTTGGCTGCCCTGATGGGGAACCTTCTCATCATCTCAGCCATCGTCCTCGACCACCGTCTTCACACCCCCATGTATTTCTTCCTGGGCAACTTGTCTATCCTGGACATCTGCTACATCTCCGTTGCAGTCCCCAAGTCCATGGCCAACTCCTGGAACAACACCCGGTGGATCTCTTTCCCCGGCTGCGTTGCCCAACTCTACTTCGGCATCACCTTTGCCTTCGCGGAGGTGACTCTCCTCACGGCCATGGCCTACGACCGCTATGTGGCCATCTGCCATCCTTTGCGGTACAGGGTCATCATGACCGGAGGGGTTTGTGCCAAGATGGCCGCCGGTTCCTGGCTCACCAGCTCCGTCTATTCCTTGCTGCACACGGCGAATACTTTCTTCCTGCCCTTCTGCCGGTCCAACGTGGTGGATCAGTTCTTCTGCGACATCCCGCAGCTGCTGAAACTCTCCTGCGCGGATACGCGCCCCAACGAAATTGTGGTGGTTGTCTTAAGTGCCTTGGCGGGCTTGTTTTTCTTCATTTCGATATTTCTGTCCTACTTTCATATCTTTTCGGCTGTGCTAAGGATCCCCTCAGCCCAGGGTAGGTATAAGGCCTTCTCCACCTGCCTGCCGCACCTACTTGTGTTTTCATTGTTTATCAGCACCGGGATCTACACGTACCTACGGCCTGGATCAGCGTCTTCCCCCTACGAGGGCCTCTTGGGTGCTGTGCTCTATACTGTGGTTTCCCCAATAATAAACCCACTGATTTACAGCCTGCGGAACAAGGAGATAAAAGACGCCCTAGGCAAACTTTTAAACAAGTTGTGTTTCACCAAGGGCCTTTTCACTTCTTAGTGTCTATATACATTTGTATTTCCTGTCCCGTGTAGTCAACCTGTGGAACTTCTTGCCAGAGGAGGCTGTGAAGGCTAGGACTATAATAGAGTTTAAAGAGAAGCTAGATAATTTTATGGAGGTTAGGTCCATAAAAGGCTATTAGCCAGGGGATAAAATGGTGTCCTTGGCCTTTGTTTGTCAGAGGCTGGAGAGGGATGGCAGGAGACAAATCACTTGATCGTTGTCTTCGGTCCACCCTCTCTGGGGCACTTGGTGCTGGCCACTGTCGGCAGACAGGCTACTGGGCTAGATGGACCTTTGGTCTGACCCAGTACGGCCGTTCTTATGTTCTTATGTCCCACTCCAGCGGATCATCTTCACAGTTAAAGGATGGGAGTCATTTTCATGGAATATATGTTTCTCAAAACATAGAACACCATTTAGTCAGGCGTCAGGGCTGGTTGAAGTCAATTGTGTGTTTCTAAATGGTGTTTAAACATGGGGCCATTGATGGACCTAACCACCTTGAATCTATCTAGCTCTTTCTTGAACCCTGTTAAAATTCTAGTCTTCACCACATCCTCTGGCAACGAGTTCCACAGGTTGACTGTGCACTGCGTGAAGAAAAACTTCCAAAGGTCCATCCAGCGCAGTGTGCTGACTGCCGACAGTTGCCAATGCCAGATGGCCCAGAGGGAATGAACAGAACAGGAAATCCTCATGAGATTCCTCTCCTGTCCTCCATTTCCAGACAAACAGAGTCTAGGGACACCATTCATACCCATTCTGGCTAATAGCCATTGACAGACCTAACCTCCAGGATTCTGTCTAGCTCAGTGGTCCCCAACACAGTGTCCGCGGGTGTCGTGGCGCCTGTCGGGCCATTTCTGTGTGCCCGTCGAGTGGTCGGGGCCGGCCCCACCCCCGGGTGCACAGGACATGGGCTGTTCTGGGCCCGGGCGCGCAGCGTATGGGCGGCCACACCCCTGGGTGTGCCGCACAGTTGCGGCGCCAGCCCCGGGAGTGCGGCGCATGGGTGGCACCAGCTCCGGGCACGCAGCGTATGGGTGGCCCCACCCCCTGGCAAGCGCATGTGTGGCCCCTCCCCTGGGTGCCCAGCGTGTGAGCGGCCCAGCCACCCGGGTGCCCGGCAGCCCCAAAAGGTTGGGGACCACTGATCTAGCTCTTTTTTGAACCCTGTTAAAGTCCTAGCCTTCGCCGCATCCTCTGGCAAGGAGTTCCACAGGTTGGCTGTGTGCTGCATGAAGAAAAACTTCCTTTGGTTTGTTTTAAACCAGCTGCCTATTCCTTTCATTGGATGTCCCCTAGTGCTTATATTGTGGGAAGAAGTAAATAAGTTTTCCTTATTCACTTTTTCCACAATAGTCATGATTTTATAGACTTCTATCCTATCCTTCATTGGTCTCCTCTTTTCTAAGCTGAAAAGTCCAAGTCTTTTTAATCTCTCTTTAGATGGGACCCGTTCCAAAACTCTAATAATTTTTGTTGCCCTTTTCTCAACCTTTTCCAATGCCAAAAGTTCTTTTTTTGAGATGAGGCGACCACATCTGTACACAGTATTCAAGATGTGGGCATCCCATGGTTTTATTCAGAGGCAAGAAGATATTCTCTCTTATTCTCTATCCCTTTTTTAATGACTCCTAAGATTCTCTTGGCTTTTTGACGGCAAAAAACAGGTGTGTAAGATTCTGGCAACGGTTTGTACGTATCTTAGCTAGGGAGGGGATGGCTTGTGACCCCGGGGAAGTGTGATGAACATCAGAAGATGTTAGTGAACAACAGGGCAGATAAGAATTGTCTTTGGCAAAATGCATTGAAAGCGGTTTGGCTTGAGAAATTCCTAGGAGAAGGTGAACACAAACTCCAACCTATGTGAAGAGCGTAGCTCAGTGGTTTGAGTATTGGGCCATTATATAGAGCGTTGTGAGTTCAATCTTTAAGGGACCCAGTTAGGGTACGTCTAGACTACCGTGTTTTGTCGACGGAAGTTTTGTCGACAGATACTGTTGACAAAACTTCCGTCGACAAAGAGCGTCCAGACACATCGAGTTCTGTCGACAAAGCAAGCTGCTTTGTCGACAGAACTCCGTAGTCTGGACGCAATGTTACAGGCAATAACACCTTCTGTTGACAGAGTTCTGTCGACAAGGTGTTATGCCTCGTAAAATGAGGTATACCAGCGTCAACAAAACTGCTGAGATCTGTCGACGTTATGTCGACAGAACTCAGCGGTAGTGTAGACGCTGGGATAGTTTTGTCGACAAAAGTCCACTTTTGTCGACAAAACTAGGTAGTCTAGACACACCCTTAGATCTGTGACAAATCTGTCAGGGATGGTATTTGCTCCTGCTGTGAGGGCAGGGGACTGGACTCCGTCACCTCTCAAGGTCCCTCCCAATTCTATAATTCTTTCCTCAGATTATGCAAAACAAAAAAACAGATCTTTGAAGCTACACCCAGACGGAATGCCTAATTGTCTGCTAACCCAAAGACGGTCAGGCGAACCCCTCCGAAAGAAAATCTCAGCTCTTTGTGCTGGTTCTGATTTTGAATGTGAGACCGTTATGACCCTTTAAACAAAGGGGACAGCAATTGAGGCTACGTCTACACTGCTCCCTCTGGTGCAAAAAATGTGCAAATGAGGCAAAGCGTGGAATATTGCCGTGCCTCATTTGCATAATTAAGGAGGCTCTGTTTTTGCACAAGAGGCTTTTGCGCAAAAATAAGTCATCCACGCTGCTCCTTTTTTGCACAAAACCACCATCTTATGCCAGAGCCCTTATTCCACATTTTTTTCCAGGAAAAACGGCTCTTGCATGGAGAGGGCCGATAAAGAAAAGTTATTTATTAGTTCCCTAAATAGAAGAACTAGAGGACACCAAATGAAATTAATGGGGAGCAGGTTTAAAACTAATAAAAGAAAGTTCTTCACACAGCATGCAGTCAACCTGTGGAACTCCTTGCCAGAGGAGGCTGTGAAGGCTAGGACTATAATAGAGTTTAAAGAGAAGCTAGATAATTTCATGGAGGTTAGGTCCATAAAAGGCTATTAGCCAGGGGATAAAATGGTGTCCTTGGCCTCTGTCTGTCAGAGGCTGGAGAGGGATAGCAGGAGAAAAATCACTTCATCATTGTCTTCGGTCCACCCTCTCTGGGGCACCTGGTGCTGGCCACTGTCGGCAGACAGGATACTGGGCTAGGTGGACCTTTGGTCTGACCCAGTACGGCCGTTCTTATGTTCTTAAGTAAGAGGGTTCTTGCACAAAAATGAGCTGTGTGGATGGCTCCTTTTTGCTCAAAAGCCCCTTGTGCAAAAATGGAGCCTTCTTAATTATGCAAATGAGGCACACGATAGTCCACGCTTTGCCTCATTTGCATATTTTTTGAGCCAGAGGGGGCAGTGTAGACCGAGTCCCAAACATTGGCCCCTTTGTTAAAAGGGTCATAATGGTCTCACATTCAAAAAGATGTGTTGATGTTGCCTTGGGGTTTGAAGGCCTGAGTCTGACCAGGCCGTGAGGATGGAGCTGAGGTGATTCCGGTTTAGCACTGTCAATTCTGTCATTGATTTTGATATGCTTTCCCCCTGAAGAATAAATGTACTTGCAGAATCTGTGTGGGAACTTCATTGAGGCAGGGTATTTATACTCTTTGCAGACTTAGAAGAGAAAGCAGAGAGATGCTAGCTTACTTAGGCCTTCTGGGATGCGTAAGACATCACCGGTGGTATCCTGACAGGTCGTCTTCTCCACCAACGATGATAAACTTTCGGCGGCATGTGTGTGCTCCCCGTCGACCGTGTTAACCACGCACACTTAGTCAACATCGCAGACTCCGAGAGAGCCCCCAAAGAGCAAACACTCAGGGTATGTCTAGACTACAGAGTTTTGTCGATAGAAGTTTTGTCGACAGATACTGTCGACAAAGCTTCTGTCGACAAAGAGCATCTAGACTGCAGCCAGTTCTGTTGACAAAGCAAGCCGCTTGGTCAACATAAGTGTGGACGCAAAGGACAGTGTAGATGCAAGAATGCCTTCTATCGACAGAACTCTGTCGACAAAAGGCGTTATTCCTCGTAGAATGAGGTTTACATACGTCGACAAAACTGCTGAGTTTTGTTGACGTTATGTCGACATAACTCAAAGGCAGTGTGGACGCAGGTATAGTTTTGTCGACAAAAGTCCAGTTTTGTCGACAAAACCCTGTAGACAAGACGAACCCTCAGATAAGGATCGAAGGCACCCAGACAGGTGACAAAGGACTGACTCTGTCAACAGTATGGAGTTCACTCTTTGCCCCCTCAGTTGGAGAAAGACGACTCTGAAGGGTTCGCTTTTCCACAGAAATGCAGACAGGTGACACCTCACTCCTGACAGAACAGGTTGCTCCTCTCCTGTTACTTACAGGCCCAGCCAAAAGGTTCACGGGGTCCAAGGCAACATGCTGTGTTTGCAGGGCCGGCCTTACTATGAGGAGAACTGAGGCAGCCACCTCAGGTGTGAGCCATTTTAATAATATCGGTGGGGAGAGGAAGGGGGAAACTACAGAGACGGAATGTAGCGTAACTGGGCAACTCCACGCATGGACAAAATGTCTTGCAGTCCTCACGCTGAACCCCACATGTGCCATGTTCATCTCAAAATGGTGGCTCTCCCCAGGAAGATATTATCCTATGAAATGTTCTCCTGAGCGCCCCTTTCACTACCTTGTTCCTGAGGCTGTAGACCACCGGGTTTAATAACGGGGTGATGATGGTGTAGCAGAGGGACCAGAATTTGCCGGTAGTGGGCGAACTATTAGATTTGGGCTGGAAGTAGGTGAGACCAGTGGTGCCGAAGAACAAAACCACCATGGTGAGGTGTGAGGTGCAGGTCGAGAAGGTTTTACCCCGGCCTGCAGCTGAGGGCATTTTCAAGATTTCGGTCAGGATGTAGAAATAGGACCAAAGGATCAACGCAAAGGGGATGGCGACAAATAGCACCGTCGAGATAAGGGCTTCGATTTCAATCCCATTGGTGTTTCCGCAGACCAGCTCCAGCACTGGGGGAGCGTCGCAGAAGAAATGGTCAATCTCCATGGGGGGGCAGAAAGGGAGATGGAACAGCCACATGACGTGCGTTAGCATCACGAGGCTGCTGCTCAGCCAGGCCGCGCCCGCGAGCCGCAGGCAAATGCTCTTCTTCATCACAACGGCATACACCAGGGGGCGGCAGATTGCCACGTACCGGTCATAGGCCATCAGGGCCAGGAGGCAACACTCAGTGCCTCCGAGCGAGAGGAGGAAATACATCTGGGCCGCACAGCTCGAAAAGGAGATGGTTTTCGCCCCTGCCAGGATGTTGGCCAACATTTCCGGGATGATGACCGCAGTGTAGCACAGCTCCAGGAAGGATAAGATCCTGAGAAAGAAATACATGGGGGTGTGAAGGGCAGAGTCGGCACATGTTATAAGAACGATGAGAGCATTCCCCAGCAGAATAGTTATGTATATAACTAAGACCAAGACAAAGAGTAGGCCTGGCAGGTTAGGGAGACCAGAATATCCCAGAAGGATGAATTCAATTGTGGAGGACTGGTTCCTTCCTTTCATGGTTTCAGGATATTGCACCTCCTAAGGAAATGAAGAGGTATTCAGATACCATGGTGACGTGGATCCTTCTAAAACACATAGATACAGAGCACAGTGACCCTATGAAAGTTATTGGCTGCAGGAATTAAACCTGGGAACTTAAGATAATGAACCTTTTTGGTTTGTACTAAAAAAGAAACCTCTGTTAGCCAATGCCCCATCAACCTCTCAGTGGCCTGGTCGCCATCAGAGGGCAACACAGATCCCCCCTTAGCCCCAGTTTACAGTAGGACTTTATTTTGCAACAACCCTCTTTAGGCTGAAGGTAGAACTCAGCGGTTTTGTCGACGCTGGTATACCTCATTTTACGAGGCATAACACCTTCTGCCTGTAACATTGCGTCCAGACTGAAAATCTGGTCGATTTTCAGAAACTGGATTGCTACCTGAGATCCGCAGACTCTTGAGTGTCCTCAAACGATGTCTAGAGGGCCCATGAAAGATTACTGTAAAAAAAAAAAGTTTCAGGTCCCAGAAAAATGCATACTCCCACTACAGGCCAAAACTGGGTAGAATTGAGCTTACTTGTGGACATGTCTACACTGGGAAACTATTTTGAAATAACTCAAATCAATTTATTAGCTCCGGCTCTGTCTACACTACTAGGATATTTTGAAATAAGTTATTTCAAAAGAATAACTCCCCAAATCGCTATTTCAAAAAATGTTTATTCTTCTTCACAAGTAAGAGTTATTTTGAAATAATCAGCCTATTATTTCAAAATAGTAGGGTGGACAAGGGAGTTCTACATCATGCAATGAGAACCAGCTGCTTTTTAGTTCAAACAGTAGCGGCTCCTATGCAAGGCTCCAGGGATCCCAGGTTCAAATCTACCTTGTGGTGCTCTAGCCATGTGGTGGTTACATGTAAAGGCTGCTTCCTCAGCTAGAGGAAGTATGCAACCCACACACCTAGGCTACATCCAGACTGCACTTTTAGGGTGTGTCTAGACTAGAGGGTTTTGTCGACAAAACTGGACTTTTGTCGACAAAACTATACCTGCGTCCACACTGCCTTTGAATTATGTCGACATAACATCGACAGAATTCAGCAGTTTTGTCGACATATGTAAACCTCATTCTACGAGGAATAACACCTTTTGTTGACAGAGTTCTGTCGATAGAAGGTATTACTGCATCTACACTGTCCTTTGCGTCCACACTGTAATGTCGACAAAGCGGCTTGCTTTGTCGACAGAACTGGCTGCAGTCTAGATGCTCTTTGTCGACAGAAGCTTTGTCGACAGTATCTGTTGACAAAACTTCTGTCGACAAAACCCTGTAGTCTAGACATACCCTCAAATCTGAAAAAGATATGCAATTTGTGGTAATTAGTCTCTTTTTTGATTTCCTTTCTAAATTTGGCACATCTACATGGCACCAAATTGCGAACGAAAGCGCTCTTTCAAGCCCATCCCTTATTCCTCAGAACGAGGTTTACAGGGATGGCGAAATAGCTCATCTGTTCTTTGGAATTTTTTTTTGAAAAAGAGGACTTGTTCCTTGGACGCGGTGTTGCTTTTTCCCGAAAAAGCAATGCAGTCTGGATATAGCCCTAGTGTGGTTCACTGCCCCATGCAGTGGCGCTTAGACCATTTACAACAAGAGCTAAGGACAAGAGACCTCTACAGCCAGCTGGCTTTTTAACGCAAACAGTAGAGGTTCCTATACAAAGTTCCAGAGGTCCCAGGTTCAAATCTGCCAGGTGCCGGTTACAGATGCTCACCTTGTTGAATAAGGGGAGTTATTTTGAAATGACTCCCCAGCATAGATCTGCCCTCCTGAAATAACAAAATTGATATAGTATATCCCCACTACGGAGAAGCCTTGAAACTAGTCTGAGATAGGCACTGTTAAGGTGGACACTATTCCTCAATTGAGAGCTTGTGGGTGTGGCCAATTTTTCCAAAATCCCATGAAGTTTGTTTACAGCTACCACTTCCGACTCTCAGTGGTCTGTGCTATTATTTAGCCTGATTTTACCCATAAATATTCATTACCAGCCCAGTAAGCAGGGGAAGTGTTGATAATGCTGCTAGACAATATTGACCTCCCATGATCCGGAAAATTCTCTGGTACAGAACCGGTCAAGTCCCGAGGGTGCTGGACAAGAGAAGTTCGACCTGTCATACTAACAAAAAATTCTGCAAATGATAATATTTCTTCATGTATTTTGTTTAAATTTGAAATGTTAAAGAAAAAAATGCATGGAAATACAAAACTCAGCCAATTTTCCAACACTGTATTACACACGGCACATATCTCGTTGACAGCTCAGATGCTGTCTGAGAGATACTCCAGTAAAGGAAATGTCGTTTGGAGTAAGGTACTTCTCAGAGATTCATCCGTCAGAAAAGAAATTATCTGAATGTATTAAAACAATTTAATGGGTATTTTTCTCAAAGCGTCTTTCACCTCTTTGTTCCGGAAGCTGTAGATGATGGGGTTTAAGAAAGCAATCACCACGGAATAGAAGAGCGAGAACACCATCTCCTCCCCCATGCCGTAGCTGGACTTGGGGCGGGCATAGGTGATGAGGGCCGTCCCATAGCACAAAGTCACCACAATGAGGTGTGAGGAGCAGGTGGAGAAGGCCCGACGCCGGCCTTCAGCCGTCTTGATTCTCAGGATGGTGGGGATGATAGCGACGTAGGAGAGCAGGCTCATTAACAAAGGCACCATGAGGGCGAAGCCAGCACCCAGAATGAACTGGATCTCTATCCAGTAGGTGTTCCCGCACACCAGCTTCAGCACCGCCTGGATGTCACAGAAGAAGTGGTTGATCGTGTTGGGACCACAGAAGGGAAGGGTGAAGAGCGAGGATGTGTGCCCCACGGCCACCAGGGTGCCGCAGATCCACGACCCACCCGTCAACTGGAGGCAAACCCTCTTATTCATGATGGCCGTGTAGCGCAGCGGGTTGCAGATGGCGCTGTAGCGGTCGTAGGCCATCGACGCAAGCAGGAAGCACTCGGTAACGCCGAAAAACAGAAAGAAAAACATCTGCACAGCGCAACTGGCAAAGGAGATGGTCTTACGGTCAGAGAGGAGGTTGTCCAGCATCTTGGGCAGAGTGACAGAGGTGTAGCAGAGGTCCAAGAAGGACAAGTTCCTGAGGAAGAAATACATGGGGGTGTGAAGGGCCGGGTCGACATATATGACAAGGATGAGGAGAAAGTTGCCCAGCACGGTGAGGATGTAAATGAACAGAAACACCACAAACAGGACGAGATTCATGTCGGGGTAGTTCGAGAAGCCCAGGATGACAAACTCAGTCACGGAGGTCTTATTTCTCATTCTCTCCGTCACCATATTTTCTCTTGAAAATCAAAAAGAAGACTTGTTAGTTTGATATTTTATATCAAGTCAAACTGATTATGATCTATCGATCTCTCTATCTATCCCCATATACCCCTCCCTCTCTCTCTCTATCCGATACCCTGTATCTATCTATCTATGGAGGGGATTTGTCTGGCACCTTTCTTTGTGTGATTCAAACCTTCAGTGACCCTGGGAGCGTTCATGTATACGAACTTAAGAACGGCCAGACTGGGTCAGACCAAAGGTTCATCTAGCCCAGTGTCCTGTCTTCTGATAGTGGCCAGTGTCAGGGGCCTCACAGGGAATGAATAGAACAGGGAATCATCAAGTGATCCCTCTCTTATCATCTATTGTCAGCCCCTGACAAACAGAGGCTAGGGACACTATTCCTATCCATCCTGGCTAATAGCCATTGATGGACCTAACCTCCAGAAATCTCTCTAGCTCTTTTTTGCACCCTGTTAAAGTCCTAGCCATCACCACATGCTCTGGCAAGGAGTTCCACAGGTTAGCAATGCGCTGAATAAAGAAAAACTTCCCTTGGTTTGTTTTCAACCTGCTGCCTATTCATTTCATTTGGTTGACCCCTCATTCTTATATAGTGGGAATAAGTAAATAACTTTTCCTTATTCACTTTTTCTGCAACAGTCATGATTTTATAGACCTCTATCCTATCCTTCTTTAGTCTCCTCTTTTCTAAGCTGAAAAGTCCAAGTCTTTTTAACCTCTCTTCATATGGGACCCGTTCCAAACCCCTCATCATTTTTGTTGCTCTTTTCTGAACCTTTTCCAATGCCAATACATCTTTTTTGAGATGAGGCAACCACATGTGTAAGCAGTATTTTGGGGGAGTCCATCACAGCCACACACTGAGCAAGATAAAATACACAATTCGAATCATAGCATGCCAGGGTTGGAAGAGACCTCAGGAGTCATTAAGTCCACCTCCACACCCAAAAGAGGACCAACCCCAACTCAATGCCCCTCTGCCATGGATATTGGTCAAACAGGACAGTCTCTACGGAAAAGAATTAATGGACACAAATCTGATATCCAAAAAGGTTACACACAGACACCAGTTCGAGATCACTTTAATCTACCCAGGTACTCGTTAATGTATCTCCGAGTCACCATGTTGTTTTGGGCCAATCATGTAAGCTTTGCAGGCATGGCTAGCTCAGTGGTTTGAGCATTGGCCTGTTAAATTCATGGTTGTGAGTTCAACCCTTGAGGGAACTGATCGGGGGCGAATCTATCAGAGATTGAACTTTGTCTTGCTGTGAGGGCAGCAGACTCGAGTCGATGACCTCTCAAGGTCCATTCCAGCTGTATGAGGTATATCTCCATGTTTTATATTAAATACCCAGGGAAGGTTGGAACTTAGCTTCATTTTCAAGTTTGAGTCCTGTCACAGAGGTATGAATACAGCCATTGGCAGGATGGCCCGCTACATGCCACTTCCGAATGACATAAAAAAACAAACAACGGGAACTTCAGAACGACTTGCAACTTATCTATCCGCTTCATGCATGGAGACTCTAGGGGTACGTCTAGACTACAGGTTTCTGTCGACAGAAGTTTTGTCGACAGATACTGTCGACAAAACTTCTGTCGACAAAGAGCGTCTAGACTACATTGAGTT